GGGTGGGAAGTGGGGCTTTGCCTGTTACTTCCCTTTGGAGCAAGGCCCAGCAGGAGAGCCTCTGGTTCCCTGGAGGCCCCAGCACTGCATGGGGCAGTGACCTGTTTGTTTCCTCAAGAGCTGATAGGATTTCTGTCTGGTGCACCTGGGGGAAGCTCTAGGACTCCTGGTCCTGGCTGGTGATGACAGTGACTGTCCAACCCTTGATGTCCCCACACTGAAACTAAATGACATTTTGGAGCTGTAGAAACAAGGCCTGTCCCAAAGCAGCCTAAAAGGGGACCTATGTGCCACCATCCCCCAACAATGCTGATTCTTGGACCCAAAGTCACAAGCCTCCAGGGCCATGTGTCACAGAACCCATCTGTCCTTGATTTCTGAGAGGCTGAATTAAGATTCATGTAGAATGAATAAGTGAGGGACCCCTCTCAGACGGTGGGTGTAACTTTGAGGGAGGCAAGCCAGGACATGATGAGGACAAAAGGAGCAGAGAGGGTTGACATATTCCAGGGCCAAGAAGAACTGCATGCTGCATGTGTGGTGAGGGAAGTTGTGTTATGTGTGTTGTGTGTGGTGTCATGTGTTGCACATTGTGTAAATGTTATTGTGCCTTGTGTATGATTTGCGTGCTGTGCATATGTTGTATGCTGTGTATGGTGGTGTTTATGTGTTTTATATATTTGTGTGCTATGTATAGTGTTGTGTATGTTGTCATGTGCACGTTGTGTGTACATCATATTCTGTGAATGGTATGTGCTGGTATGAGTATTGTGTGTTGTGTGTTATGGTGTCATGTGTGTTGTGTTGTGTTCATGTGTACATGAACAGTACAGTGTGTGTTCTCTTATATGTTATTGTGTGTGTATGGTGTGTGTTATGTGTATAGTGTCATGTGTAGTGTTTATATGGTTTGTGTGTTCTGTTGTGTGTATGCACATGGTGTGTGTTCTGTTGTATGTACATTGTGTGGTATGTGTCTTCTGTCATGTGCTGTGATGTGTGTGTGGCATATGTGGTCTGTGTGGTGTGCTGTGAGTGGATGTGTGCATGGTGTGTTGTGGGGTTGTGGGTATGTGTGTGCTGTGTGGTATATGTGCTGTGTCTGGGTGTGCATATGTGTGTGTTCTGTTGTGTGCTGTGTGCAGTGTATGGTGTTTGTTCTGTTGTGTGTATGTTCTGTACTGTGGAGTGTGTGTGGTGTGTATGGTGTATGTGAAGAGTGTTCCCGCATAGCAGTGATATCAGAGTTGAGCCTTGGCCTGGTGGGAGGGAGTGTGGTGCTGGCTGCTGGCAGCTGGGTCCCCTCCCCTGTGCGGTCAGTGCCTTGAAGCCTACTGTCCTCTGCTGGTGGGGGGTGCTCTGCTTCCTGTCCCCAGCCTGGATGAGGGGTCGTGAGGAAGGGGCTGGGGAAATGGACTCACGCCACCCCTCCAGACAGGGTCCTCAATGTGTTCTTTTCATGTTTTTTCTGATATTTGTCACTTGGAGCACGCAGAACACAGTGTGATGAGGAAGACAGTGTTTTGCAGGAGTCTCTGCAAGGTAGCGGGGCTCACAGAGGTGAATATGTGGCAGGCATTGTGCCCATTGGCCTGGGAGCTGCTCCATGCTCGCCTTCACATCCTGGGGGGACCGTCCCACTCACCTCCCTGATGCGAGAACACCTGGTCCACAGGTACAGAGATGTGGACAGGGCAGGAGCCAGGGGCCCCTCATTGGCTCCCACTCTGCCCAGGAGGAGACAGCTTCCTGTCTTAAGTAGGAAGGAACAAGGGCCACACATGTTGACTCACCAGGCTTGGGCTTGGTTTTTCCAAACTGTTCTCATCTCCCAGGCAATAAGAATGTGAAGTAGAAAATGGACACATTTGTCCCTTTGCATATTTCAGGGTAGCGGAAAGAATATTTGAACTTTTCTGGACAGAAATGTCTGGACAGAGGATTCAACCCTACAAGGGCAAGGGGTCATGAGCATGTCCTTCTCTCTCACTATGAGTGGATATCCACCCCCTTGGAGGAACTCAGTGCCCTTGCTGGCCTCCCCAGGTAACTTTTAGTCTCTAGAGAAGCATAGCACAAATCTGAGATCCTAAGTGAAGAGCCCATGAGGAGGCCACATCAGGCCAGGTATCGTGTCCTGGTAGGTTTGGGCAAATGTCTCCCCTCCCCACTGTGGAGAGATTATGAGAAGCCTATGAGAACTGGACGTAGCAGGGGAGATACAGCTTAATTGCTTTTATCTGTAGGCCAAGATTGGCACAGCCCCAGCCAACAAACACGGAAAAGCAGAACAGCTGTGTCTCCTAAGTTGTTTATTTCAGAGCAGCAGGAACGCAGGTTTCTCCTGTTACAATGTCAGGCCCCTCCCCAAGAACCGCAGCTCCACCCTGTTTACCACTGGGTATAAGAGACCCCCTGAAGGAGGAAGGGGTCTTTTGCCTTTGCCTTTTGATTTTTGTTTGGGGCTTCTTTTTGGTGTGGGAAGTTTTTGGAAGGAAAAAGAATTGCTGAAGGAGAATTGCTAAAGGGGAATTGCTAAAGAGGGGTTGATAGAAAGTCTGCACTGAGAACTTTAACATAGGCCTTAGAAAAGCTAAGCCAAAGAAAGAACTTTATACATAGGCTTTAGAAAAGCTAAGCTAAAGAAAAACTGAAGAGAACATGGGACAGTGCAAGTCTAAGGACTGAGACTTTAAGAGTTACACATATGCAGTTTTTAGGCATGGCTGTTGCTTGCAAGTCTGAGTACTGAGGCTTTAAGAAAGCTTAAAAGAGATGGGACAGTGCAAGCCTGCCGGTGAAGACTTTAAGAGAGATTAACAACTAAGAGAAAACATGGGACAGAGCAAGTCTAAGGAAAGAGATTTTACACAAGGTTTTAAAGAAGATTTTAGAAGCAAGGTTTTAAAGAACTGCAAAGGAGTAAGGCCTTAAAGAATAAAGATAAAGAAAAGAAGCAATGAGGGTTGGGCGTCTCCACCTGAGTGCCCAGCACACCTGATCACACTTTCTGTCTGTGTCTATCCTGTGTCTTTTCTGAATCTCCAGTCACCCCCAGTTAGCTCCAGTTAGGTTCAGTGATAACCAGGAGCAAGAGAAAACTCGCTCCAACAAAGGAGGAAGAGAAAAAGCTCCCTCCACCCTCCCCTTCCCTAGTCTGCAGTGTCCTCTGCCCCTGGCCAGCTGCACATTCTCATTGCTCTGCTTAGGTTCAATTTTAGTTTAAATTCAATTTAAATGTAAGTCAAGGCTAATTTTCTCACTGTGTTTTGTCAGAGATAATTTTATGAGGGTATATATGCATTTTATCAGGGTACTCTTCAGAAATAATGGAGAAATTCTTTGAATCATTTTCTTCAGAACAGATGAATTACTGGTATACTTTGGATCATCTCATATGCTCAAAACTCTCACCTTCTTCTCACACTTACCATTTGTGCAAACCTACACCACCAAGAGTATTTTAGGTTAAAAACACTCTCAGAGCTTGCAGATTGCTCTAGTTTGTAATTTTTTCTCTGCAATTCTGGGGATGGACCAAGGGCCTCATTCGTGGTAGGCAAGTGCTCTTCTACGGAGCCACATACCCAGCCAGTACTATGTTAGAATTTTTAAAAGTCTGACTTTTAGGTATCCTATACTGTGATCTTCCTCTTTTCCTTGTCAGAGCACATGCAGGGTTACCTCCATCCTGCTGTTCACATTTCAAAGCTTGGGTGGGTTCCAATGCTCTTCTCTGGCCCTAGTCTTAACCCTTCTTGGAAGCAGGGAGGGTCCCCTCCCTTGGTCTGTGTCTCTTTCCCCATCCTCTCCACTCTCCTCTCTGGAATCCTTTGCTGTCACAGTACCCCCTCCTGCCAGCTGCCCTCTGGTCTGGGTGACACCTCCATAGACTGTCCAGGTGCTGATTTGCTTGGCTGCATCTTCCTGTTGCCTGGACTTTGTGTTTACTGGGGAGTTGTTTTCAGTACCTGGGGCTGCCTTGTGAGTTCGATTCCTCCCCACACCTTGGTCTTGCTTCACAGTTGGCATGCTCTCCCAGGACTCCTCTAACAGCGTCACAGCACCCAAGAAGTCCTGGCCCATGACCTGTGTTGGCCTGGGGTCACTCAGGTGATGCAAGTGCAGAGCAGCCTGCCTTGAGGGAACCCCACAAGGAGGAGGAATCTTAGACTGTTTCTCGGTGTGTCTCTCTTCCCAAAGTGATTTATGTCAGCTGCACTTTTTGAATGTTCAGAAAGAACAAAGGGCTTTGCACAAGGATAATGTGACCAAATATTCTCAAACCTTCTTTTAGAAGGCCCCCAGTCTCCTCAAGGTCCCACCTTGCAGTGACCGTGGGTATCTGCCACACCCTCTCTCTGGCATTAGGCACCTTCCTCCCCTGCTGGGGGCCCCAAGCCCCTCCTGGCCATTGTCCATCTGGGTAATCTGGGGACATTCAGAGACTCTAGAGCTGTGTGGGTGCCAAGTCTCCTCATGCCCGAGGGAGGATAACCCAGAACCATCTGGAGCACGGCTGCTAGCTCTGTCCTCATGGGGAGCTTGCAGCATTGTCTAAGTTTTTGGTGGGTGAAAAGCCAGCTAGGTTGCTAACAATTGCCTTTTCCTGCATTTCCTCTTGATGCACTATACCCTCTTTGGCATGGATGTGAGGGTCTGCGCATTTGTAAATGAGCCCTAGGATTCATTGCTGTATCGTGGGTATCAAGGGCTTCCAGAAATTGGAAAAGTCTCAGGTCAGCTGGGGTCCTGGCTGTGTGGGCACATGGGGCCCTTGGGTTCCTCAGCCCATGGAACGTCCACAGGCTGCATCCCAGAGCTGTGGTCAGCTATGGCCTGAACAGAGTGTCATGTGGACGTGGGTTCTCTCTTGCCCCAGACAGCTGCCAATCTATCAAAGTAAAAGTGACCCTGAGCCACCCAGGACATTGGCTGTCAACCTGGTCTGCGGTCTCCTAACAATGGTGGGTGGGCACAGTAACCCATGCTGCACTCTCTGTCCAGGTCCCTACAGCCCTTGTGTCCTCTCTGTCTCACAGATGGACCTCTGTAGCAGGAGCCAGAGACTGGTTCTCCCAGAAACCCGGTCCAGTGGTGTGAAGAGGACCCAGCCGCGCTGTCTGTCCAGGGTGAATGGCTGGTCACTGCCCCTCCATGCCTTCCAAGCAGTGTCCTGCTCCATCTACCTGATCTTGTCCTTCATCACCTTTGGGATCTTCATCCCCTTCCTGCCCAGTGGCGGGAAGAGTACCACATATGTTGTATCCTTTTTCCTAGTGGGCAGGCCCACGGGCTGCCTGTGTCCAGAGGTGGTAACGACCTTCTGAACATCTGTGGGAGAGCTGGTCTCTGGCCCACCTGCCCCACGGGCTCTGACCCTGCCTGGCACCAAACCACCCATCCCTACAGTTGTGTAGGCACTGGCCCTGCATTCCCTGTGTGGCCAATGCTCAAGGGCCTGGTAGAAGGGGCTCCTTGTCACTGTGAAGAGGGAGTGTGCTGGATGATAGGTGGCAGGAAGGGCACTAGGTGTGGTGACCCTAAGGAAAGGGAAGGAGCTGCAGACTTTGGCCATGTTGGTCTCTCCCACAGCATACCAAGAAGCCAGTGTATGTTGTCTGACAAAGAGTTTAATAATTTCAGAAGAATGCTGAGGGCTTACCTGGGCTGCTTTCCACACTCTGTCCTGAAGCTCACTCCTGCAGGCCTACAGAGCCCTTGCCCCATGGCCTGCATCTTGCACATGGAGAAGCTCCTGGATAAGCTGCTAGGAGGCCATGCCAGAAGGTGATGGGGAGGCCTTGCATCTACACCCACCTCCCTGTGGTGTGCATCAGAGTGCCACATCATGCTCAGCTGACCATGGCATTCGGTCAAGAAATCCCAGGCCCCCAGGGGTTATGTGACATTTCAGCCAGCACAGGTAGCTGGTGCAAAGTGGGCGAGTGCTCAGGGGATCAGAGCCAAAAGCCAGGTGTTTGAGTCCTGACTGTGTCCTCCTCTCAGTGAGGACAGTTTGGCCATGGGCTCCAGTGGCCCTTTTGCTTTGTCTGCTCCTCTGCAAGTCCTGTTGAGAAAAGAGAACCAGGGGTGTGTGAGAGGTGGTCAGGAGAGGCAGCGCAGGATGCAGGAGTGAGCAGGGTCTGTGCCATCTCTTGGCCTCAGCTACCTGTGAGGCAGCTGTTCTTGGTTCCCACAGCTCCGTGTGATAGCATCCGGCTTCTAGAAAAGGAGAGAACTCACAAACAGACCCTACACAGACCAGCTTCCACAGTCAGGGTTTCCAGTTGGCTTTCATCTTTCACACACACGTTCTTGGGAGCACCTTTAAAAACCTCAGGTGTCATGAGACATCACCTATAAATTCTGCAGCCTGCTCTGACACAGCTTTCATTTTCGCAGCTGCTCACTACCATCTCATTAGAAGAGAGCCCAGCAATCTCCTAACACTGTGCGTCCCCTCGTGCCCCTGCAGGAGTCTGCTTTGCTCTTCTTTCCTTTTTGCCCTTTGTAGTGAGTGCTGGGGGTGAGCCCAGGGTCTTGCCCTTTCAAGGCCGTACTCTACCACTGAGGCACATTTCCAGCCAGTACCCCGATTTTCTAAGAAAGCCGCGTCAGATGGACCGACGGGTTCCCCTGTGGCTCAGAGCAGCATTGTGATGCTCCCTGGCCTTTGGCTGGAGAGACCAGGGCAGGGCTCTGGAGGGCCCCCCAGTGCCGCTGTGGGAAAGGCTTTTGGTAATGAGCTCAGTTTCCCTCCCTACAGTCCAGGTCAGCCTGAACCTCCTGGTCACAGGCTCAGGCGTACAATTGTGCCTGGCTCCTCCCTCTTTGTGCAGTGGTCTGTATTTTCTCTCTCAAGTCTTCATCAGCCTTCCTGACATTTATCACTTTTATTGGTCTTGCAGAAAATCGACTTTAGGCTTTATTAATTTTCTCTATTGTTTTCCACATGCCAGTGGCTCAAGCCTGTAATCCTAGCTACTTGGGAGGCTGAGATTGGGGTATCACAGTTTGAGGCCAGCCCAGGCAAATAATTATGAGACCCCCATCTCCAAAATAACCAGACCAAAATGAACTGGAGATTTGACTCAAGCAGTAGAGTACCTACTTTGCAAGCATGAAGTACTGAGTTTAAATCCCAGACCTTCCCCCGCCCCTGCAAAAAAAAATCTCTGCTTTTATTTGTATTATTTCCTTCCTTCAACTAACTAGGGTTCACTTTACCCCTTTTTCCTACCATCTTAAGGTAGAAACTTGGGTCATTGATGTAAAGTCTTTTTTTTCTTTTTAATATAAATATGTAAAGCCACAATTTTCTTATAAGCACACACAAATGGGCACTGTGAAAAATGCTTTCTGCTCCCCTTCAACCTCCTTCCAGCTTAGAGCCTGAAGGCTGGCTTACCAGGGACTTGAGGTTCAGTGTGGGTCTTGAAGTGTCCTGTGCAGCTGCAATTTCCCTGAAAGCCCAGGTCCCACCTGTCTGCACACCTGTAAGGGACCAGCTGCACAGTCTTACAGTGGTCCAAGACTTCTTTTCATGAGGCATTAATGATGCCAGCACACAGGCACTCTGAATGTACTCTTGCTTTATCCAGCTCCTATCTGGGTGACTGGCCAGGGCCAGCCCAACAGGCAGTAGTTGCAGGCCATAGAGAAGGGCTGCATGTCTTATATCTGCCCCGTTCCCCAGGCTCCACGTAGGCAGCAGTGCCCACATGTAAGAGGAGGCCTTTGCCCAGGTCCAGGTCCTGCCCTCACCACAGGAAGATGCAGGCCATACCTGGTCATGGGTGTGGAGATTCAGACATTATCGGGGGAGCTGGAGGTGCAGCCCTGTGTTCTGCTCTGCAGACAATGAAGTACACCAGCCAGTCTCACTCCCTTGCTCTCAGGGTGACAGATCTGGGCTCCTGGTGGTGGCTCATGTGACCAGGCCCAGTGCATGCTCCACCAACCCTGCCATGCCCTCCTGGGTCCCTGCTGGCATTCCCCATGACTCCTGTTGTTGGCCTGGTGAGCCTTCACTGTGGCCTAAGCCCAGGCCCTCTGTCTCGGATGGCCTCTCTCAGCCCCGGGGCCCCAAATCTCACAGATCCAGAGTCGACCAGCGTTGCTGGTCCCTGTGTGCTCTTCACCGTAGCCACCTGGCCCCTTGGGCCTCCTATCCATGATGAGGGGTGAGGGATTTTACCAGAGCCTATGGTCACCAACCCCATGGCTCAGTGCCCTGTTTCTATACATGAGGCCCCAGATATGGGCACCCAGTAGGAGCACACCTTGTCACAGGTAAAGTCACAGGCATAGCAATGATACTATAATCTCCTACACAGTTAATCTTATAACACCTCTGTATAGGAAATTATCCTGTATAGGAATTCTTAAATTCAGACTCCAGTCCAGGTTCGAGCCTCGTGCGTGGGGCTGGAGTCTCTTGGTCTCTAGCCCAGCATGGCACCCATTTCCCTGCCCTTGCCACAGCTTCTCATCTTTGAGGCAGGCCAGTGGCAGGTTCCCCAGTCTGGCCAAGGCTTCAGCAAGAATGTGGAGCAGGCAGGGCTGGCACACCCCTGTGCTGTCAGAAGGCTGGGCTGCTGTGGGGATGTGGCTGTTCCTTGGGTGGGTGTGTGAGTCCCCACACCACAGTGGGGGCAGTCTGTGTGCAGGCTTTGGGCTGTGGGTGGGCGGCTCTGCTTGGGCAAGTGTGTCTGAGCCATGGCAATGCTGGCCCATCAGTGTGGCTCTCTAGATATGCTGTTCTGCCTGCATGGCCCCACTTACACCCCATGAAGGCGGCTGGCCTGCCCTGCTCCCTGTCCTTCCCGTTTTAGTCCCTCTCCCAGCTCCATCACTGCCATGATAGAACTGAGATGCAGCTGGGACCTGTGGCTGCCTCAATGAGCTACACAGAGGGTGCATTAAAACAACAGACATTTTTGTCTCATGGTTCTGGGGCCAGAACTCTGAAACAAAATGTCACAGGACCACATGCCCCCAAAAGGCACTGTGGGAGGGCTGTGCCACCCCTGTCCTTGGCCTGTGGACACCGTCTTCTCCCTGTGTCCTCTGATCCTCCCTGCTCTCTCCTCCTTTATTTGGCTGTTTAGAGTTCGAACTCAGGGCCTCAAGATTGCTAGTCAGACTGTCTACCACTTAAGCCATGCTCCCAACCCTTCTTTGTTTTATTTTGCCTCCTACCTATGTCTCCCATATAGCTGGAAATACAAGCATGCGTTACCACACCTGGACTATTTGTTGACTTGGGATGGGGGGGGTCTCACTAACTTTATGTTGGGGCTGGCCTCTAACTGTGATTCTTCTGATCTTGTATCCTGTGTAGCTGGAATTACAGAAGTGAGACACTAAACCCAGCCCAATTTCTCCTTTTTATAAGAAGTGCAGTCACATTGGATCAGGGCCCATTCTAATGACCTCATTTATCTTGATCATCTGAGACAACCTATTTCCAAGTGAGGTTCTTCTACAGATTCTGGGGTGTGTATTTGAGTATATTTGGAGGACACAAGTCCATCCTTAGATGTGGCTTTACATCAATGCTATCTTGTTTTGAACTATGGCTTGGCCCTGTTTGGGCCCTGGGGTCCTTCACCAGGCTCCATGCTCAATGCAGTGGAATTCAGCCCTCACCTGCTCTCTGCCAGGGCCCCTTCAGTTCACCTGTGCTCTGTACTGTACACTCGGCTCCTGTTTCTTCAGACCCCAGTCCATATGGCAGCCTCCACTTGTCCTAAGTTGCTGGATTTCAGAGTGGCTTTCCTGGCCTTTGGAACCTGGATTCCAGCCTGTTTCCAACCTCCTGTGCTGCACTTATTGATATGGCCACTGGAGGGCGCCAGTGCCATTGGTGCCTGCAGGGACCCAGGTGGGGCTGGAAGGGACCAAGGCAGTTCAGGAGGAGGACGTGGGTTTGCTGTGGAGAGAACTTGAGGTAGAAGCCAGGAGGATAGAACGAAGCCTGAAGACCCTTCTCATGGTGCAGAACAACAGGAACTGGCATGTGGGCAACTCGTGAGGGTCTTTTCCCTGGCATTCCTGGGCATCTCAGGAACAGCTCCACAACTTAGCCAATAGGGCCGGCTGCACAACCCCATAACTATTTGATCCGTAGAAATCTCCTCTGTGCAAACCCTGTGTTGTGCCTGGGTGATGTGAACTGGGAGAGGGTGATGACATTGCGTGAGGCATCTTGCAGAATTTGCCCTGGAGGACCCATGAGCCAGGGCTGTACTGACAGGGGGACACTGGCTGGGCTCCTCCGCCTCCCCTCTTCCTGTGGAAACAGGATGGGGGAGAGGTCACCAGTGCTAGAGGCCACGGAGGGCGGTGTCCTGGGCTGGCGCCCTTCCGCTGTTTGTTTACTAAACACAGATTGTTGCTATGGAGTGTCCCCGCCAGCTGGGTTCTCACAGGCTCCAGACAGAAACTTCCAGAGGAGGCCTCCTGGAAGTGGAGGGAGGCCTTGCCTGTGTCTTTCACCTTCATTATCCTCTTGACCTCTGTGAAGGCAGAGGCAGAGACTAGGGGAGTTTCTGAACAGTGACACCTGGAATAGCTAGCCAGGCTACTTTGGGCAACATGTAGTACGGTAAGGTCACCAACTTCGTCCTCGTGGGTGACATGGATGACTGTGTGCACAATGCTAAGTTGGAGGGTCACAGTATATGCTGGACAAGCAGAGCCCAGGTGGAAGGCATGTTTAAGTTGGTGCTTGCCTGAAGTAGCTTTGTGTCCCAGAGGGGATGTCTGGGTGGAGGTTCTGCCTGGAATCTTGGGGTCCCTGTGGAAGGTAAGCCATTCCTGGGTGTATGCTTTTAGGGTGGCCTTGTCACAGCACCTGCAGATTTGGGGACTGACTGCCTGGCAGGGTTTGCATGGAAGGTCCAGGCTCAGGAGGTGCCCTGAACACCTCCATTTTTTTGAGGTCAGCGGGGTCCAAGGACAGGCTTTGCTGTCTTGGGAGTCCCTGCTGCACACGTCTTAACAGTGCTGTCTGCAGTAGTGGGCTTGTGTGTGAGCAGAGTGTAGCTTGTGGTCTGGAGGGGCCATGAGGATGTCATATGGCATAGTGGCAGAGCCCTTGGGTAGCCTATCCTGCTGCCCAGGTAGCCCCACACACTTCCCCCACCACACACACACACACACACACACACCTGTCTACTCTAGCTTTGCAGAGGATGGAGCCACAGCTGGGCCACAATGTGACTTCCAGCTGTGTCTGTCCTTAGTCTTTTCTGCCAAGTGTCCAGGAACCACACAAGCAGGCAGTATTTGGGCCTCCAGCTCAGGCTCAGGGAGTGGAATGTGTGTTGGTCTGCTCTTGGTCTTGGTAGTGTCACAACTGGGAGACTGACCTGGCACCTGCCCACTGAGTGGCTAGCCCTGCTTGTCTATACCCTATGGGAACCACAGCTTCAGTCTACTCTGTGAAGAGCAGGTACTGCCGGCCCTGCCCAGTACCACAGGATCAGGCGGGCATGGGAGGGGCCTCAGTGACTGTTACTCGTGTCCCTGACCCTGCACTCAGCCATCTCTGAACACACTATCCAGCCCCTCCTGCAACATACCTGCCTGCCTGGTCTGGACACCTGGTCCTCTTGGTGTTGGGCTTGTTCCCCCCGTCTTCCTCATAGTCACCTCTGAGCACCTGAGCCTCATTTCCAGCCCTGTGTCCTGGCCCTGCTCAAGCTGGGAGATAGGTGAGCAGTGCATGTTCAGCATCGGGTTTGGAGAGGAACTGGCCCTCCATACAGGCTTGTCCTGTGTCCCTGTGTGATGACTTTAGATCCTCATCTGAGCAGAGCCTTGGAACAGAAGGCTGCTGGATGACTCTGTGACAGGGCTCATGCTGCAGGCCAGACCAGCAGCCCTGAACCAATAGAAGGACCAGAGAGGGACTTCTTTTGGGATGGATGATCCCCTCATTAGCCCCCCTGCTAAAATCCCTGCAGAGTTGCCCCCAGGCCCCCACAGCTTTTGTCTCCCCAGACACCAGACATGGCTGCACCGGGGACCCTGTTGGCTCCCTCTAGAGTGCTTATTAACATTGGCCCACCAGGCCCAGAAGTCCTGGCAGGGCAGGGGGAAAGGAGCTCTGACCCCTGCGCGCCCTTCTGTTTCCAGGGTGAGGAGGAGAGAGGGTGAGGATCTGAGGGCCTATGTTACCTGCAGTCCTACAGGAACACATCTTTCTTTTAAGCAGGGGACAGAGACTCTCTTCCGGGGCCATTTAGGCCCAGCTGCACAGAGCCCTGCCTTAGAGTCTGAGGGTCCCTGAGAGAGTCTGAGGGTCCCCAAAAGAGCCCAGGAGTCCCTGAGTTAGTCTGAGGACTCCCAAAAGAGCCCAGGGTCCCCAAGAGAGTCTGAGGGCCCTCAAAAGAATCCAGGGTTCCTGAGAGACGGGACATCCTCTGAGACCCAGATGGGTTGGGATTGGACCTCCTCCCCCTGTTGCGGAGTCTTTTGTTTCTGGAGAATGTGCCTTTCCCCTTGTACCATGGCTCACAGCATCTTCACATGCACAGGACCTGACCTGGACCACCTGCCCACACCAGAGGCCTCTCCCTTCCTGGGAAGCATCCACCACCCTGGGTAGACAGCTGCAGACCTTTGGGGCTGTGGTGCCCAGGCAAAAGTGCCTCTTACCTGTTGCTTCTGCTCTGCCCCTAGTCTTAAGGGTGTGTGGTGTGGTCAGTTGCTCAGTGGTCAGAGCTTCTGGAGGATGGAGTGTCTGTAGGTCAGCCCTGGTCAGATGATAATGATGAGGGGTCCAAGACATTCTTAGTCTCTGTTACCAGCCATCCAGCCTAGGAGGCACCTTGTGCCATGTCAACCAGTCCAGGGCTGTGTGCTCCTTGACTCCCCAGGTGACTGGTGGGATCTTCCTGTTCCACCTTATCGTCCACTTGATCACGATCACCATTGATCCAGCTGATGCCAATGTCCGACTCAAGAAGAACTATTCCAAGCCTGTGCCGACCTTCGACCGGTCCAAACACGCACACGTGATCCAGAACCAGTATTGCCACCTGTGTGAGGTCACTGTGTGAGTGCCACACCAAATTCTGGGTCAGGGTTACCTCCAGGGCTTGGGTACAGGGTACTGTGACCCCTTGGCAATGTGTGATGACAACCACTGAGTCTGCAGCTGGGCACTGGCCACACAGCGCTCTGTGGACATGAAAGTTAAATCCTCACAACCTCCTGTGAGGCCACACTAGGCTGTCTGCCTCGCAGGGCAAAGGGCCTGGCTTCAGGATGTGTGTTTCGCTTCTTGGGATGGAAGCCATGGCCTGAGAGCTGGCTGTGTCTCTCTAGGGGCTCCTGTGTATACAGGCCCCTCCCTGTGGCTGGGAGTAAGAGTGTGCCTGCCTAGGGGTTTCCTGGGTGACTTTAGGCCCCCAAGGGAGGAGGAGGAAGGAAGGTGATTTTAGCCGGTGCCTGCTGGGGTCCCAGGTGTCCAGGGCCTAGGAAGGGCAGCACACTGTGTTACTGCAGGGAGGTCCCATGGGCACAGGGTGGGAACTGAGCCTCCAGCATCAGCTCCTGGGTCCTCTGTCAGGGCCCTTGCCCAGCACCCGAACCTGGCTGCAAGAAAGTTGGCATCTACCTTCACAGTGTATCACCCATGGGCACAGGGTCCTTTCATCTGAGGCTGCTGTGCCCAGGGTGGTCTTTGTCCCACCTCACGGGCCTCTCTGTCTCCAGGTGGAGTCCTGCCAGATACCCAGTGACCATGGCACACAACCAGCTAAACTGGGGCCCACCTGAGCTAAGGACAGGGATGCTGACCAGTGCCCAGCTGGCACACTTGGGCCTACAGACCATTCCTCCCTCTTTCCCTTCAGAAGCAAGAAAGCCAAACACTGCAGTGCCTGCAACAAGTGTGTGTCTGGCTTTGATCACCACTGCAAGTGGCTCAACAACTGTGTGGGCAGCAGGAATTACTGGTGAGGGCCTATCTGGGGGACTACAAGGGTCACAGAGTGGGAACCAGGTTGGGTAGACAGCAGGGGTTAGGCCACAGGGATCACAGATCTGGGACTGGGTGGAGTGGCCAGCAGGAATTACAGGTGAGGGCTTGGCTGGGGTCATGGACAGGGGAGCTGAGGGTCTGTGGGCAGGGTGAAGGGACCATGGACCATGGACCTGCCATGGTGGAGGGGTCATCTTGGGGACATGGCCTTGTCCCCTGTATGGCAGAGCTCAGCACCCACATTGCTGGTTCCAATGTGTTTGGTGGAGCCAACCATGGACACGTGAAGGTCCAGTTCACGATCACAAGTCCATCACTGGAGACCCCACAATAGATGGCAAGGAACCAGCCCCTGTCCATGGGTTGACAGGCTGTCTGAGGCTTCTGAACACACTCTCTTGGGCCTTTCCACCTCTGGACATCAAGGCCATCAACCCAAGAGCAGTGGCCAAACCATGGAACACAGAGTGAGTATCAGGCCCCCAGGAGAGGCAGTGCCTCCACCATGGGGCACAAGGTTCATGTGCTCTCAGGACCTCCACATCTGGACCCAGAGTGTCCATCAGCTCCATAGGCCATGAAGAAGGATAGGAAGAATGCAGCAGTTTCCTCTGCTGGCCACACTGACTTGAAGAAGGCTGAGGCCTGTGAGCCAGGAGGCCTCCAGTGGCTGTCCAGGTGGTGACACCTTTGGCTGAAAGCTGCAGATTTGACCTTTTGCTTCCCTGAGGCTGTGCATAACCTTGCAGAGTACGGCCAGTGCCACTAGGCAGCCAGATGTGGCCTATGGATAACGACCACCATGATGATTGCAAAATCATCAGAACTGTGTGACTGCACAGGTCTGGGAGGCCAGGCCACTCGTCCCCTTAGGAAGAGAAAATAGCATGGTCAGAGACTGCCTTTTGCTTCTTGATGCCTCCAGGTGCCTGCCAGATGCCTCCTGGGAAGGCATGTTGGGGCAGGTGAGGGCGAGGCCCCACCTGTGAGCAGGCAGAGTGCAAGGGGAGGTCGTTGGTCTCCTCAGAAGAACACATGCCTCTGTGTCGGGAAGGTGAAGTCAGGGTGAAAGCAGAGGGTGACTGGTGCCATCCACTCACAAGAGGCAGCACTGAACACCAACATCTCTTCCCTTCTACCCTTTCATCTGTCAAGGGCTGAGAGAGCAAGGACATTTAGAATATAACTTGGCCCTCAAAGTTGACAGTGTAACATGCTCTAGACAGAGCAGCATGTTTCACAGTCCTGAGAAAAAGGACCTGGGAAATTGCTCATGGCCTTCCAGATTGCCTGCAAAGTAAAGGCTGGAGGGAGTGAGCAAGGTGGCCTATGGCCGTCTGAGGGAGATCAGCTTGCTGGAAGATGTTCTGATGGGCCTGGGCTCTGCTATCTTGGGACCTGCCTTTCTCACCGAACAAGGAGGGGTGTTGTGTCTGGACAGCAGGATTGGTGGACATGAGGACTCAGGCAGGAGGCTATGGGGAGCATGGGGTGTGACCAGTATCATCAGGAACCAGGATCCCTGCCTAGAGATCATGACAGAAATGGTTGAAAGGGAAGAAGAGAAGGAAGGGCTGAGGGAACACAGATACTGTCAGGTTCCCACTGCTGGTGGGAATGTAGACACACAGACTGGTGGTTATACAGCCTGTCCTTGCACTCATGTGCCTCTGTGCGTGTTCCTGCTTTCGCCCCCAGGTGGTTCTTCTGCTCTGTGGCCTCAGCCTCAGCCGGCCTGCTCTGCGTGATGGTGATTCTGCTGTACATCTTCATCAAGCACTTTACTGACCCCAAGGCACTCCTCACGGACCCCCAGTATGAAGGTACACCGCCACTGCTCTGGGGACTGCTTCTGCCGGGATTCTCGTGGGTAAGGGGCTTGTGCCTCCTCGCCTTACTCTCCAGTCATCTCTCTGGAAAAGTCTTGGGTCAGAAGCAGTGAGTCAGCTCACCTGCAGTAGAGGCAGGGAGGTGTCTGGGTGCCCCTTGCAGGCAGTCCCTGCCAGGCTCTGACCAGGGCTGAGGGCAGCAGCCCAATGTCTGCACTTCAGTGGACAAGAGGCAGGCAGGTGCTGCAGGTGCTGCCTGGCCTGTTCTGGGGCTGAGCTTCCAGGGAGTGACGAATATGAGAGTGGACTCCCCCTCTCCCTATGTCCCCTCTACAGTCATTCCTGAGTACCTAGACATGCTGGACCTTGTAGACCACATGAAGTGGAACCAACTGTCTGGGGAGGGAAAATGAAGCCAGCAAAGTGGAGGTGCAGGCTCCCAAGGGGCAGCTCAGTGATGCTCCAGCTAAGTGGGCCCAGGAGCCCAGGCTGTGGGCATAGACATGAAGCCTGGAGACTTTGGTAGACTGAAGTGGCCTCCAAGATGTGCCCATGTCCTAGCCAGACCTGAGGCCACAACTCACATGGAGAAAGGGCCTGTGAAGATGTGATTAGGGATCCTGAGGTGAGGAGCTCAGCTTGGGGTATCTGGGAATGACAATGTCCTCGTGAGAGGCAAGAGGAGACACAGACACACAAAGGGCCATGTGGAGACAAGATGGAAACAGGGTGACAAGCCCAGGAATGCCTGGAGTCCTCAGAATTGAAAGGGGCGAGAAGGACCTTCCCTTGGAGAGCCCAGCCTACACAGTGATTTCAGATATATGGCCTCCAGAATGTGAGAGAATGAGTTTCTAGAGGTGCCACAGTTTATATAGAAGTACCACAGGTTTAAGTGGAAATGGCGCAGATTTATGTAGAAAGACCATGGGTTTATGTAGAAAGACCACTGGTTTAAGTAGAAATGGTGCAGATTTATGTAGAAATACCACGGGTTCAAGTAGAAATGGCGCAGATTTATGTAGAAAGACCATTGGTTTAAGTAGAAATGGTGCAGATTTATGTAGAAAGACCATTGATTTAAGTAGAAATGGTGCAGATTTATGTAGAAAGACCACTGGTTTAAGTAGAAATGGTGCAGATTTATGTAGAAAGACCATGGGTTTATGTAGAAAGACCACTGGTTTAAGTAGAAGTGCCACAGCTTTGCGGCCATTTGTCACAACAGCCTCAGGACACTCGTTCAAGGGACTGAATGGCAGCTCCTTCCCTGGGTCGCCCAGTGGCCAAGGGGATGCTACCCCTCCTGCACCACTGGTGTCACAGGCATCTGCCTGACACAGTGATAGGAGAGGGAGAACCTGCGTGCCACTTATTCTAGAACACTCCTGTAGACAACATTTATTCAAGAACAAGCTTTGTGAGTTACACATGGAAGGGCCTTAGCTGTCATGTCCCCTGAAACCCACCCAGGGCTTTTCACTGCTCCTGGAAAACCCTGGTGCCACCATGGTGCTCTCTTCTTTGGTAACAAGATGTGTTCCTAAGCAATCTCCATGCTAACTGGGCCTCTCCCTTCTGTGGGCTGCAAGAAGAGAATGGGAGGAGGAAGGAAGAGGTGAGGGTGGCCAAGGGGTCCTTGCTGAGCCCACTGACCATGACCTTAGATGTAGTGGAGGGCCAGCATGGCACATCCCACCTGGGAATAGATTGGTCCAGCAGAGTCTGGTGGCTCCATGTGGGTTCCTTCATTGTGGTCTGAGGTGATTTCCTCACTTGCTGTTCAGAAGACCCCACAGGGCTTTGTGACCTGAGCACAGAACCTCATGGGTGAAGGGGACATGTGGGTTGGGATCCTACCATCCAGCCCAGCCCCATGGATGCACTGCCACAGCCCCACGAGGCAGCATGTGGCCTGCCCTTCTCATGTGGCACATTCTAGATCGTGCTGTGGGGGAAATGAGCTCTCCACTTTTCTGGCACACAACTCCTCAGAGTCCTTCACACCTGGTCTTGTCAGCATAGCAGCGATGAGGGCCACAACAGACCCTATCCTGGGAATGCCGCAGGTGGCGCTTGGCCTTCCAGGTCTGTGTGAGGTGGCTGGTCTGGGATGAAGACAGGGACTGTGGGAAGGATGGGCAATGGCAGCAGAGTGGCCTGTTCTGAGTCCAGGGCTACATCACCATTACAAGCTTCACCTCACAGACTCACGAAGTAGGGATCACAGCACCGGCTGTTGCCAGGTGGGCCACAGGGACCTCAGGAGGGGCAGGACACACACCTGGATAGGAAGTGTCTCTTGGCTAGCTGTCCCCACCCACCTGCAAGCTCTGTCACTCTGCTCACCTGACCACAGGTGCTGTGTGTGGGCAGGCACTGATGACGCATCTCCCTGCCTTGACAGACATCAAGGATGTGGACACATGGCTGCTGTTCCTGCCGCTGTATCCTGTGCAGGTGAAGACCCCTGTGGTCCTTTCCATCCTGATTGCCATGCTGCTGCTGGTCCTTGCCAGCTTTGTACTGCTCGGACACCTGCTCATCTTCCACTTCTACCTGAGTATGTACCTGCCCACACTGTTCTCCTCTTGCTCAGTCCTGAGGCAGGCGGCGCCTTGGGCAACTTTGCCAACAATGAGTTTATAGCAGAAACGACCAACCACAGGAAGAAAAGAGACACCACGAGAAGGTTGGCAGGTCCAGTAAGGGACTGAGTTCATGTTCTAAAGCCTGTAGAGAACCCAGGAGAGTCTAAAATATTGTCAAAATACTCAGAGCCAAAGGAAGAAGACTATTAGGCAAGAACAGGGCATTTTGAGAAAAGAACAGGTGGGTTTAGAAAAGCACCAGGAAGAACTGTAACACTGAAAAGCAGTAAGCTAGAGGAACAGCTTCCCTCACCCACACATGGCCGAAGGGCATGTCATCCCACAGTGAGTGTGCCAAGCGCTCGGTCGTTAGAGTTAGAGCTGTCTCCTCCCCCTGCGTACGTTGTTTCTGCTGTGGTGGATCAGGTGGCTGCAAAGCCTCTGGTCTCTGGCAGTGATCGTGGACACCACACAAGTGGTCACCCAGATTCTGACTCGTCTCCACTTCAGGAGGGAGCAGGGTAAAGTGTCCATACAGACCACATTGGCAAGGCCTGGCAGAGAGCTGACTGTCACTGGAAAAGTCCCTGATGTGGCCATGGTTCCCACCAGCAGCATCACACAAGCCTGTAAGAACACTTCATAACACGCTTTTAACTAAACACTGTGCTTACTGTAGTCTTACCTGAGGCTTGGAGTTTTTTCAAATGAAAGTACAATGAAGACCACTGGATTAAATCTTAGGGTGTAGTCCTGAATGTTATGTTTTCAAGATTTAGTTAGGAAGGACCTGGTCGGTGCCTATATACAGAAGGTATTTAGATGTGTGTGCTGAGTGGACTCGAACTAAACCTCAGATGAGTTGACTGAGTGCATTTATCTCAATACACTGTGTGTGCTGCTTTCTTAGTAATGAGGGCTTCCCTGAGAACAGGCAGTCCTTTGGGCCACCTTCAGAGTTCTCCGTACTCTTATAATCAGGAATCAAAAACAAAACTTTCTAAGCTGACCTGGAGATTTCACTCATGTTTCAATGCTTTCAGACTTGTCAGCGGTGCCATCTTTCCTGGATCCTGGCCCCATGCAGAACCCATCCCAGTTTTGTGCAGAGGTCTCTCATTGCAGACCTCAGCATTAGGACAAGCAGCCAGGACCCAGAAACTCTGTCCTCATGTGCAGATAAACAGCCCAAACTGCCCAGGAACTCCAGTGGTGCATGCCATTTTCCCTCTCAACTTTGTGGCAAACGTCTCTTTGCCCATTAGAAATGGCCCGCCATGTGGCAGCATGGTTGGCGACGGCCACACATCTATGGGCAGGCCTGGGAGAGGGGCAAAGACAGTGAGGTCAGACAGTGTGTGGATGGGCTTACCTGAGGGAGGAGGAGGCTGGGCATACCTGGCAGGCGTCAGACCACACAGGTGGGCAATGGAGAGCCTGGGGTCAGGTCCAAGGTGAGGGTTCCAGGCTGGTGGGCTCCACAGGATGCTGGCCTCTGCTTAAGTGTTCAGAAGGTCCCTGGAGGGGAGTGTAGCCCTGGAATGTGCCAGCTATGCTCTGTGTGCAAGACACTTGGCAGCAGGGGTTCAGGAGCTGCCTGCTGTTCACATGGAAGCATGAGACTTGGAAGGTCAGGTGCCAGGAGCACATAGAGAACCTGACATCAATGTCATATCCGACACTCCCAGGAGACAAAACAGGTTCTGTGTCCCGAGACCACAGGCTGGTCCTTGAGGAGGAACTGGGGACCTAGTAGAGGCAATAGCTCAATCTTCCTTCCTGGAGCTCAGAGGCTCTTGGGAGGCTCTGGATATGGAGTATTCTGGTGCCAGAGAAATATCACACTGTTGGCATTCGTAGAAGCAGCCCCAAACATGAGCACATTTCCTGGACGACGTGCTTGTCCCAAGAGACCAAACCTGTGCAGTGGGGATGCAGCCTCTGCTTCTCTGCCTCTCCAGTCAGAGAGGACACGGATCCGCTCCACCAGCCTTTGACAGGCGTGGAGAAAGTGGTGTCAGTGACCAACACGAAGCTCCGTGAACACGGACCCCTGCTGGAGAGCTGAGAGTCATAAAAGGACTCCACAAAGCCCGCTTTCACGGACTGAGTGCAGAAGCAGCTCAAAGGACTCTGACCCAGATCCTGGAGAGCTGGGCCCACATGCTGCCTAGACACGGGTGAGAGGCAGGTCCTGCACACGGCAGGGCCTGCAGCCTTCAGGGTCTGCCACTCCCAGGATTTCTGGGGCTGCAGGAGGGTTCTCCTTGCCTGGACTCCCTTCCCTTCTTGACAGTGTTCCCCAGCTCTGCACATCAGGCTTTTGGCCCTAAGACCTCTGTGCTCACAGTTGCCAGGCCTCCCAGGGGAGAGGGCCCAGGGGCATCCCAGAAGGGGAGCATGCTGCTCAGCTCCCTTGGCCCTCATGGCATTGAGGGCTGTGGGCACGGGGCTATTAGAGCTGCTTCTCTCTGCCTGAACGCTGACATGGCTGGCCTTCCAGGTCTTCACCCAGAAGTTGAACCATAGGAGGTCAACTGTGCTGCTAAGAGGTGCAGACATGGCCAAGGTGACCCCAGAGGCCTGGGAATGGGCTGAGAACGTGTACGGAACAGCCACAGCTCTGGCTTCTATTCTTGAGTCATTCAACAAGGCTGGCCCTTTGCCCACTGTGTGGCTCCAGTGTGCCTGCCTATGACACGAGCCTCACAGCAAGGGGCTTCCCCCACTCTGCCAGCATGGAGTAGCCGTGGAAAAAGGCAGTGCCAGGAGTGGCTATGGTGCCTGTGTCCAGCTCAGGCTGTCCCTGGCTGAGACAAAGGCACAGATTGGTGCCTGAAGTCCTGGTCACTGAGAATCTCCAGCATGTCATGGTGTTCCACAGGTGACAATGGCAGCCACTTCACCAGCCCAGGGACAGGCAAGCAGGTCCAAGAGCTGTTGCCACGTGGTCTCTCGTGGGCCGAGGCAGTGCAAGGTGGGAATGATGGCAGTCTGGAGTGGCCTCCAGGGTCCTGACAGGCAACCAAGGACAGGCAGTTTGCTGTGAGTGGAGATGGGAAGGTACCCGGTCAGGAGATGAAACTGGGGTCAGGCCAAGCGTGTTGAGTTTAGGGCATTTGCAGGCCAAGGGTTTGCAGGACAAAGCTGATATATTCATTACTGTTACAGTAAGATGATCCCAAAACCTAGGCCTTTAGGCCAGCTTGTAGTCATCACCCCACACCCGAGGGTCAGGTGTCAGCATTGCTGTGGGGAACTCTGCTCAGGATGCCTTGCAGGTTTTAGCCCTGAGTTGGTGGCCATGGTGTCACCTGCAGGCTCTGTGAGAGGCTCTGTCCCCAGCTCCCCATAAGGTAGCTGACAGATGTAGCGCCTGTGAGCTGCTGGCCTGTTACCTGGACCATCTCACACAGTGACTGGCCTCATCAGTTTGCACCTGGTCACCCTGGGGGACACACAGGGACAGTCACTCAGCACTTGGGCATGCTTACCATCTGCTATGGATGGCATTTTCAGAAACCCAGGAAAGAAGGCATCTTTTAACTAGAACATAAACCAGGGCAGGTTTGATCCAGGTTCTGAGGTGCCTGGAAGGCATGTGAAAGCAGTCAGGAGATTGTTGCAGAACCTCAGGGAGAGGTGGACCATTCTGCTCCTTGAGCTGCCCAAGGGTCCATGTGCATGGCCTTCACCTTTCCAGAAAGTTGAAGCTGCTCCCATGTTTCTGTGTGTTTTAGGAAAAAGAAACGAGAGCTGTGCCCCTCCCTGAAGCACATGACTGAGATAGGCACAGGCCCACTCGTACTGGTCCTGCTCTTTATCAGTAATTGGAGTTAGATTTTCTTATGGCAGCCCAAGGCACTTCTTCCAGTGGAACAGCCAAGCCTCAGAGGGGCTGGAGCTGCTCACCACACTCCATGTTGGTTGTGTGGCCACATCTGTTCTAAATGAGGATACTCAGGACAGGGACAGTGCATATAGGGTTGCCAGGGACCAGAGCTCCATTAGTGGGGCTTCCCTGAACCCCAGAGTTGGGCACTTCCCCCTTGAAGGAGCCCACTTGGACCCTCAGACAGGATGGACCTTCCAGGAGGTTCCAGAATGGCCCTTCCTGCTGCATGAGGCAGGGACTCACAAGATGCACCAGGACTGGCCTCCTCTCCAACACCCCATTGTGATGCTGGCTTGGGAGTCTTACCTTGGACAAGATCCTGTCCCCCATAAAACAGAGCCATGCCGGTTTAACATGTGGCACCTGCTGCCTGTCCTGTTGTCAGGGGGCCTGATCCCTGGCAGAGCAGGAGTGCCCTTTGGGGCCCTGGGAGGGCTGCCCATGGGGCATTGTGTGGATGCAGTGCCCAGATGCCAGGTGACTCTGCATTCCCTGCCCTCTCCTTTCCAGTGGCCAAGCACCTGAGCACATTTGACTACATAATGCAGGCCCGCTTCCAGCAGAGTGGGAATGCAGCAGGGAAGAAGGAGCTGTGTCTGCAGATGGAGAGAAGCCTTTCTCAGGTGTGTCTGTGCCCCTTCTCATTGCTAATCCAGGTTGGAGACAAGGTGCAAGTCACCATGAGGGACTCAGACATGGCACTGTGCCCCAACGTTTGTACTGATCAGGACTCCCTGTGAGTGTGTGATGTGGAGTGTGTGTCTATATGTGGTGTGTGATGTGTGTGCTAGTGTGTGGCATGTGTATCTGCTGTATAATCTGTGTCTGTATGGTATACAAAAGGTGTGTCTGTGTGTGGTGTGTACTGTGTGAAGTGTGTCTGTGTGTGGCACAGCACCTCCGCCCCTTCATGGGAGCAGTGCATAGGACTAACTGCTTTCTGACTATCCATTTGTCCTCCTGCTACGGGGTCAGCTTCAGGGGTTTTTTGGCGGGGATTGCTAAATGGGTTTGTGACTGCCATTTCCAAAGCCTGCAGGTGACTCCACTTCCTCTGTGGAGGGAGGTCACCACCACAGCCCCTGCAAGGAACAGAGGGAACGCTCCTTGTGACTTAGAGCTCCTGTGTGGTTGTCACCTACCTGAGTGACTCTGGGGCTAGAGGGAGGGTTCACCCACAGGCCCTTCAGGAGCAAAGGGAGCACTCCTTGTGACTTAGAGCTACATATGTGGTCATCACCCACCAGAGGAACCCTTGGACTGGAGGGAGGCTCCTGAGTTGCTCCTCCCTTGGACACTTGAGAAAATTCTATTGTGCCCTGAATGTCCCATCCCAGACTCAGACACTACAGGTGACACTAATCAGGCCATGTCACAGCAAGTGACCCTGGGGGTTCTTGCTGCCTTCATAGTTGGGGTGACTCCATGCTCCTACACATGGGAAAGTCCTTGTGACACCTGCTGTTCAGGCACCATCTTCAGTGCCCCTTCGTCTCTCAGAAGTGTCTCATCTGCTATGACTCCTGCCCTGAAGCCCAGAAGCAGCCCACAGCATTTGGAACCCAGCCAAGTCCTCCTGGGCTCCAGCTGACACCAGGGAAGGACGCTTGCAGTTCAGCCATGGACACCTCCATGGAGAAGTCCACCTGCACAGAGTGGCTGCACAGAACCCTGATCCAGCCCAGCTTTGGTGCGGCCATGCCATGGGACTGCTGTGCCCAGAGACAGCTTCGTGGACTTTCCTGAGGTCACGGTGAAGGATGTGTTTATGGGGAAGAGGAGATTTCAAGGGTGAGCCATGAGTCTTGCTAACCCAGAACCACACCTGAACACCACCTGCAGAGCAGGGGGAGCCGCTGTCCACAAATGTCCTGCTCCCTCCATGGACAGCCCCTGACTCAGCTCCTGATGAAACTGTCACTTAACTAAGAAGGTGGGACCACAGTTCCAGCCATGGCTGGGCCGTTGAGCCTGGTAACCCTTTGCACAGAGATGTGCTGACTGGTGAGAGACCACCCAGCGTGTCCCTGGCAGGATTCTGGCCACAGACCCTGTGTGTCCCTCATGGCCTAAGTGTCCCCTTATTACCTCAATGGAAGGCCTCCTTGCAAGTCATCAGAGAGAACACAGTCCACCTAGGAAGGAAGCCTGGCCCACTGAGTTCAGCCCAGAACTATTCTCCCTGTGTCCAGAGTGAGAGTCAACACTGGGGAGCCCCAGGGTCTGGTCTGCAGTGGGAACTTGGTGTGGATGACCAAGTCGGGTTCCCCCACGGCCAGCTGGAATGTGGTACTCTCCAGCCCCAGCCACCTGCTGCCTTTAGGCCCACCCAGTATGGGGACCTGAACGTTCATCCCACTAACAGAACTGGAGCTAGAACCAGGTCCTGGGAGGACTCGCACAGTGTGTCCCAGGACACTGGCATAGCTGTGTAGATTGAGCAATACTGAGTCCCTGCCCAGTGGCCCTGCTTTTGCAGTCCTGGTGGACAGTGTCCACAGACAGCTTCTCCAGAGAGCCCTTCTGGCTGAGTTTGAGGAAGCAAACAAAGGACAGATGACCCTGGCCTGCCTAGGTGGGCAGGCCCAGGCCCTCTTGTGTGTGACTTGGAGCAGAAACACAACCCAGTCATGTGATGGAGCAGGATGTGACCTTGCACCAGCCTGGCTCTGGGGTACTGGTCACTATAGCTGTTAGCCACCAGTGTACAGAGCATGTGGACAGTTTGTCACATGAGTCTGTGCAGTTTGCCATATTGGTGACTCAGTTCAGATAAGGCCAGTCACTCCTCTTATGTGTAAGAAGACTTTTGAGCCCCCAAGAGCCGTGAACATTGTCACTAGTCCCCTACATTCACAGATGTAAAATACCAATGTGTAGACGGCTGTAATGTAAGCAGGGACATCACAGGGTCAGGACTGTCAGACCTCTGCATACTTGTCTTCGCGTGTCCACGATGACACACATCCTCATCTAAGGAGGTGCTGTCTTCCCAGTCACAATCACAAGTGATTGAAGGAATAGAAAATCCAAGAGTAAGGTCCCAGTGCAAAGTCTTCCCATAAACTCATCCCAGCCCTCATGGCTTTCATGGATAAATGTGCTAGTTGTTTTAAGAAGAAAGCATCCATTGCAATGCACTCAGTGTCACCAGGACTGACCTGATGGAAAGTCATTATAAAGGTGGTGGCAAGCCAGACCTACACACACACACACACACACACACACACACACACAGAGTAAGTGACACTTATCCCGGAAGGCAACATTGGTTTAACACCTGCAGATCAGTCACTGAAACACAAAATAGTAATAGGATAAAGGACAAAGCCTTATAGTCATGTTAATCAATGCAAAAAGAATTGTATAATGTAAAACTCCTATTCATGATTTTTTTTTAAGAAATCTCAATCTAGGAATAAAATGAAAACAACCTATGAACTAGCAACTGTCATTCTTCCCCTGGGCTGGAATCAGACACGGATGTCCATTCTCTCCATTCTGACATCACACTAAAGCAATGGAATTTAAAAAAAGAAAGAAACTCGAGGGCATACAGAATACAAATACAGTCAACACAACCCTAAAAAATGTATAAACCATTTGAAATAATAAAGTAACTTAGTATGGATGCAGGGCAGACCACCCAGCACAGCACCAGTTATTTCCACTTAGCAGCAATGAGAAATCTGTTATATTTTTAAAATGATTCCATTCACAACACTATCAAAAAGAACAAACTTAAGAAAATTGGTGCAAATTTGTACCCCAAAATATTCAAACTGTGGCTGAGGGAAGTTGAAGCTAATCTATTAAATGCAAAGGTAATGATAGTCACAGATTGGGGAAAGCAGGAAAAAGATCACTGGAGAGCAGAGAACACTCCACCTGGTCTGAAGCTTAGTCTTCATCTCTCTCCAACCCAGCGACCTGTTTCTTTCTTTCTTTTTCTTTGATCCTAAAATGTGCATGGAAATTCAGAGCAGCTCCAACATTCTACTGGCAAAACAGTGTTTTAAAAGAGCACAAGTGGAGGATAGGCACCATCAAACAGATTTTACCATAAAGCTACAGTAATAAAGACGAGGCCGTAGTGACATAAAGACAGACATCACATAAAAGGAACAGAATTAACAGTTCATTCCTGGTCAGCTGCTTTAAAACAAAGGTGCCAAGGTGAGTGCACCGGAGAAAGCTTAGCTTCACCAGTGGTCCTGGAACAACTGAATGTACACACAGCTAAAAAAGAAAACCTCGAGGTCTTCATGCCCAAACAAAAATCCTTCCTTCAAGACATACACAAAACTCAAAGCTCATCACACACCTAAAGCAGAGAGCTAAACAAACATTTCTAGAAGAAGACAGGAAATTCTTTGTGACCTTGAATTCAGCAGTCTCCATCAATTTAACACCAAAATCAAATCCTACTGAGAAAAGTGAAAAATTAAACTTATCAACATTTAAAATATTTGCCTTTCAAAAGTTGTCCTTAAGTCAGGCACCTGTGGCTCATACCTATAATCTCAGATACTTGGGAGGCTGAAATCTGGAGAAATGGTTCCAGAATATCCCAGGCAGGGAGTTTGTAAGACCCCATCTCAACTGATAAAAGCTGGACTTGATGATGCATTTCTGTCATCCCAGCTACAAACGGGAAAGGTAAAATAGGAGGATTGAGGAGCAGGCCAGCCTGGGGAAAAAGCAACACTCTATCTCAAAAATAACCAGAGCAAAAAGGGCTGGAGGCATGACTCAAGCGGTGCAGCACCTGCCTAGCAAGTACAAAGTCCTGAGTTCAAACCCCAGTAGCACCAAAAAGAAAAAGTTACCATCAAAAAATAAAATAAAAATATTTCCAAATCATATACTGTATCCAAGATATACTAAGATTTCAAAGGAAATCGTAAGAAAAATGACTCAATTTATAAAATGAGCTAAAGAACTGGACAAATTCTTCACCAAGGGGGAACCTGTGTGCAGGTAAGCATATGAAAGTTGCTTGATGTCACTGGACATGTGGGAGACACAAGACCAAAATAGGGCACCACCCCCCGAGAATGGCACGGCCAGGCCTGGCATTGCCAGGAGGTGGTGATGAGGCAGAGGGAGTGGAAGTCTCATAGCTGCTTGTGGGAGGTGAACGGGAGGTGAACTCCACCATGTGGGGAAACCCTGGGCATTCCTTAAAACTCATCACATAACCAAGTATCCCACATCCTGCTTCCGCCCAAGAGAAAAGAAGGTGTCTGTGCACGTGGAAGTGGTTTGGTGCTGTCCCCCAGGGAGGTCCTTGCCCAGAACCTGGACACCTCTGGCACCATTGCTCAAAGCCAATTACAACGGAGTTGAGTTGGGTGACAGCAAGTACAATGTTGACGACTTCTCTTTTCCCGTTCCACAGGAGAAAAAGAGCAGTCAGAGCTCACCACCGCCTTCACCACGGTAAGCTGTGTGCTGGCTAGAGCTGGTCCATCCATCCGAAGGGAGCATGGTCCTCCTGACCGTGAGGGAAAGTAATTCATCTCAGGAGATGGTTTAGTGGCTGGAATGCCATCATAGAAAACACAGCTCACTTAACATTAACATTTGAGGCATTCATGTAGCTTGTTACATACACTATAAGAAATCTCTTCTTCACAGTACTCTAGACTAATGCACAAAAATAAGATTGAGCACCCAAATATCCTTTTTATCATCTCTGATAGGACAGTTTAGATTATAAACTTCTGGGAAGTAGGGTTTATCGTTTGACTCGTTCCTGAGTCAGGTAACTTTTGTTCCCTGGTGACAGCCCTGCCCGTGAATGGTGCACACCACGCCAAGTGCAGAAACTGACCCATCACAAAGGTCAGGTGCACATTTTACAGAGTGTACTCTGTTCTTGTGATAAGAGACAAGAAAAGTGATCTTACCACGGAATAGCCAGTAACAGGAAATACAGTCACAGGTGATGGTGAGCCCAGCTCTCCTTCTTCCCTGGTGTGTTCCTCAGCATAGTTTGAGCACGTATACCGTCTACTTTAAAAAGCTATTTTAAAAAACTTGAACATCACATTCCCTCCCTCTCACCTCAGTGACTTTTCATTGAGCACAGTGAATACAATTTAAAAGAAAAGTACCTAGCCATTCATTCATGTGTGCCAAATAGTCACAGGTGTGCAAGCATACACACATGTGCACACGCCCCTCTCCAGCCTTTAGGCATAGTCCTCTCCAATGCTCCCTCTGCACCAACCCCAGGTCACTGCTGGGAGCAGCTGCTCTGGGTCCCATCTGCAGCCCCCTCTAGCTGGCTAGGCTGGCTGAGGTCATGGGGGGACTTTGCTATGACCAGGGAAGGTGATTCTGCAGCCTCAGGACAGACTGGCAGGATGGACTGAAATGGTCCAGAAAGCTCTGCCCACCAAGCAGGTTCTTTTTAGGCTAGACAAGAGGAACTGACTACAGAGAGACATGATTGGCTGGGTCCCATCTGCCTTTGGGTCACGTGGTCAGCTCTGAGCCTCTGACTGGCAGAGGGTCTGTTGCTTGGTTACAAATGTGTGCACTTAGGGGTAGCCTATTCACACATCCAACTACACAGAGCTCACAGCTGCTCTGGGCCAAATATGATCACCCCCATATGCAGATAAACTTATGCCAAGCTGAACTGGGCAATACTAACAGTGTATTTCATTTAATCTAAGTAAAACATGTGATATTTCAATATGCATCTCTTTACTTGCAGAGAGAATGATCTTTTTATTTGAATTGAGCCAGGATGTCACTAGGATGCCCAGACTGGCCTTAAACATATGGCTCAAGTGACCCTCTTGTTACCAATGAGTAGTCCCAGAAGATCTCAGTTTCTGAACAAAGAATTGGACAGAGACACACAGATTGCAAGGCAGCAGGAAAGTTTCATTGAGAATATAGGCAGGAAGATACACGACAGACTACAGCAAGCTCCAGCAAGGTGTCCTAAGAGCCACGATCTCTTTGTTCAATGAGCAATTTACAGGTGGTAGGGGTAAATGGCAGGGAAAATCTGGGAGGAATCTTTGGGAGGGGCTAGGGTAATTGACAGATTTGATTGACACAGTCTTGTTATTCTGATTCCCATGTTTTCAATTGTGTGCATGAGCTAGAACCATATTTGTAAAGTCTTAAGTAGAGGGTTTTACAGAAGTGGTCAGATGGAAGGCAGATTTTTCTTTACTGAGCATGCACCATTTTCTGGTCTGAACCAGCTGAGAGACTTCCTTGTCTTTTGAGGCATTTACAGTCACAATTATGACCATAAAATGACTACAAGAGGGAATGTCCACAGGTGGTACTGGGCGGGGACAAGGAGTCAAGCATGGAGGTGACCTTTGGTTGAGAAGTGTTGAGTCACATGGCAGGTTTTTTTTTTTTCTGTTACTAGTCTGCCTCACTCCTGTCTCAGCCTCTTGAGTAGCTGAGACTACAGGCATGCACCTCAGCACCTGGCTCAAGAATGAACATTTAAAAATCTGTTTGGGCCATTTTACAGTTTTTCCTGTGCAGAATAGTTCTCAACTAATTAGTATATTAAGAGCTCTTTTGCACACTGAGGAATCGGTTCCTTTTCCTATGTGTTTCAAATAGAGTTTTCCCAGTATGATTTTAAAATGTGCTCTTGGAGCCTTTTCACAATGTAGAGGCCATAAACTTTTCTGAAAATGCGTTTGTCACCACTTCCCCTGTCTCTATAGCTGCATGAATATCCTCAGTGTGCCTTGCTAATATTTTCATCATTCGTATCTGTTTATTCCCATTTTTATTTTCAAGCTTTCTTGAGTTTATTTTTTATATTCAGTGAGACAGGAACTAAGTTATTTTATCCCAACAAAATATATTGATCACTACTTCACTAAGTCACATTCTGAAACATTGGGCCTAGATCTGTCTCTGGATATTTGTTTCTGTCCTGTCCCCACTGTGCTCTGTGGCGGCACCATACCATTTTAGTTACAGGACTGCATTTAGCTGTTCTGGGACATCTGATAGACAGATTCTCCTTACTTATAAACCTTCCCTTGGGAGGGGCTGGTGCTACCCCTACCCCACAGCTGTCCAGGTACAAACAGTGGAGCCCTGCCAGCTCCAGCTGTGTACCAGGAGCTCCTTCCCTGAACAGAAACTCACAGTGGGGTGTTGCATGCCTTTCTGGGAGGAGGTCCAGGCTGTGTCCCCTGCAGTGTCTGTCCCCCACGCTGCAGCCCACAGCAGCAGGGGTATGGGGCTCACATGACGTTTGTCATTTTCTCAAAAGTTGAGGGGTGCTTGAGGTGTTCGCTTTGTCAGGGAGGAGAGTTAGTGTGAAAAGGTTATTTCCTCTCAAATAACCCAGTAATCCCTTTGTTTTTCTTAGAAACTTGATTGTCAATACTATTGTGTAATTTTGAACCCTTCTGGATTTGTTTGAAGTATTGTCTATCTGAGGTACTTTAAGCCAAACTTGAGCGTGCTTTCTCTTACCTCTTTATGAAAAGATTGGCAGATGTAACTGAAACCAAGACTACAACTCTACTCCAAAACCAAACCAACCAACCAACCAACTAAACTTTGTTTCTGGTTACTAAATCAATATACATTCATTATAGAAAATTTGGAAATTGCAAAAATTCCCAGGTAAAACTGAAAGTGACGGAGTTCCCCACCATCAATAGCCACTGCTGGTGTTTGGTTGGCATTTTTCGGGTCTTCTTTCTTAATAGTTTTTCTGAGCATCATATTCTTAATGTTCTGTTTTATCAAATTATAATGGTATGGTAAGACTCTTAGAACCTGCTTTTCAAATTCCATATATGGTCAAACATTGTTCTGTTAAAAGAAGGAACATGATTTTTTTTGATACAAGTTATTCCATCTTTGGGAGATATCGTATTTCTCATATTACCAGAAAGCCAGCCTTCTGACCTTAATGCCAATTTACAATTTATAAACAACAAGAGCAGGGTTTCGAGGCAAAGGAAATAAGGCTTATTATTTGTCAGATAAAGAGGAGGACAGAGAGAGTCAACCTCTCAACGCTCTGTGATCTCCCTTCTGAGAGAAGATGTCCTCCTCTTAAAGGGGAGCTCAGGAGCTCAGCTTGAGAATGTGACAAAAAGCATGTGTACCATAGCTGCTGGCCTTGGCTCTGCAGGTGTCCAGTGCCACATCTTCCATGCTGTATGGTATGTCTTGGCTAGCCGGTTGACTGCTCTAGTGGTCAGAGAGAGATAAGGGGTAGAAGACTGCCTGGTTTGGTCAAGAGTAATGAGAGTTAACCTTGTGCTCTTCAGCATGTAGCCAAGGACGGAAAAGAGGTCAGTTTAATTAATAAGCAGAGTCAACTGGCCAGCACGAAGCTGGCCACACCAAAAGTTTTTCCCTTCTGTAGTCCTGGTTACATTCATTTCTGGAACACTCTTCTTTATTTTCTATCCAGTGTTCTTCTCCAACAGGATGATGCTCTGACCTTCTGTTGGAAAGGTCATTGTGTGAAAAGTGGGATAGAACAAAGGTGCATTACAACTCTTGGAGGCACAACAAGAAAAAGTACCACCCTGTTCTTTTTTGATACTGAAAATGTTTCTAGGACAACCAAATAGCTTGGATGTAGATAGATCACCAGATACTGTTGGTCACCACTCACAGCCTTATTCTTTGTTCAGACTTACTAAAGCCCCATGACAGTCCCAGTTCCTACAGAGCAGGGGCTGTCTAAATCACAGTTCTACTCACAGTAAAAGCAGTGAGTGCTGTGGAATTGGATGTCAATCACAGGCATTGTTTAGTGGAAAACCTTGGGTCAAACTTTACAGTGTCTCTTTTTAGTGGTCATTAGACTATTTCCTGGGACTATTTCTTCTGACCCCTTCATCTGTCATGAAGTATTATGTTGAATGGAGGTGTAGAAATTGGCCAGTGAGTAGGGAATCATGAATAGGGTGTAGGATCACACAGGAAGATACTTCTTGTCTAATTTTGAAGGAGTTTCAGCTAGCTTCTGTCCACCACATGGCCCGAGTTGTTTTGCCATTGCCACAGGGTAAATTACCCATAAACTTGATAACCTAAGACAACACTGACTATCTCACAGTGCTCATGGGTTAGAAATTGTGTGAATGAAGCTGGGTTTTTTTCTTCTACATCTTACACCAGTCCGTATGTTTCCAGGATTTTGTTCCCTACTAGAGGTTGTGGGGAAGAATCTGCTTCTTAATGTCTTACAGGACGCACTCAGAATCTTATTCTTTCTTGTGCTATTCACCTTTCTCCCGGGTCTGTAAGCCAGCAGTGGCTGGTTACACCCTTCTCATGTTACCATTGTCAAGTCTTCTTCCTCATTTCTCTGTTTGTAAAGTTTCATATCATTATATGGCCCTGTATAGATATTTCTGCATAATCCTCCTCAATTACTTGCCTAGTCCAGCAACTTTCTACCACCTTAGTTGTTTAAACTAAAGGAATTTATTGTCTCACCAAGCTGGAGGCCAGCAGAGCAGTACCAAGTCATTGACTGGTCCATGCTCCCTCTGGAAGCTCTGGGAAGGGTCCGCCATTGCCTCTTCCAGCTCCAGTTGGCTCCTGGCATTCCATGGCTTTTGGTGCATCACTCAAATCTATCTCCATGTTGTCCCTGAGTCTCTATGTCTTTTCTTCTTCTTACAAAACACCAATTATTGGAAATGGGGTTTACCTTAGTCCCAAGTTCATCCCTATCTCAAGATCATCCTTAACTGACACTTCTTTGAGTAAGTCAGGTTTTCATCATTGTGACAAAATATCTGACACAAACAACTTAATAGAGGAAGGATTTATTTTTTCAGGGGTGTCACTATACAGTCCTTGGCTCCATTGATTCTGGACCCATGGTAAGGCAGAACATCATGGTGGTGGGAACATGTGGAGAGAAGGCTGTTCACCTCATAGTGAACAGGAAGCAGAGAGGAAGGGGCTATGGCCTTGTATAACCTTCAAAGACCTGTCCCCCATGACCTACTTCCTCTAGCAAAGCCCCACCTCCTAAAGTTTTTACCACCTCCCAAAAAGTGCCACCAGCTGGGGACCAAGCCTGAGCCTATGGGTACATTTCATATTCAGACCATAGCATTCTTTCCCTCCTGCTCATTTCATGATGCAAAATGCATTCTATCCCCAAAAGTCCCCAAAGCTCCAACATGGTTCAGAATTTCAAGTTCAAAGATTCTTCTGGGTGTCACTATACAGTCCTTGGCTTCAATTGATTATGGACCCATGGTAAGGCAGAAACATCATGGTGTGGGAACATGTGGAGAGAAGGCTTATTCACCTATAGTGAACAGGAAAAGCAGAGAGAGGGGCATGGCCTTGTATAACTTCAAAGACCTTCCCCATGACTACTTCGCTCTAGCAAAGCCCCACCTCCTAAAGTTTTTAACCACTCCCAAAGTGCCACCAGCTGGGGGACCAAGCCTGACCTATGGGTACATTTCATATTCAACATAGCATTCTTCCCTCCGCTCATTTCATGATGCAAAATGCATTCTATCCCCAAAAGTCCCCAAAGCTCCAACATGGTTCCTTGTGGACATCCGATGCTCCTGGCGTTTCTAACATCTTGGGGTCTCCATTGCATCTATAGTTTTACCCTCGCAGCTTCACACAGTGGCTTCTCAGTGGCTGCCTTCAGGGACTCTGACCCTGTCACACATTGCCTGCTTCCCAGGATTTCCTTTGAGATCTGGGCAGAAGCCTCCAAGACCCCCATAACTCTTTCAGTTGTCATGCCTACAAAACCAGCATCACCCAAATGGTGCCAAGTCTGCCCCCCAGCTCTAGCAGGCCAGGCCACAGCAGCCTCAGTGTGCCTGGGTGGCTAAACATGGTGAAACAAATCCTGGGGAAACAACTTCCTAGGAAGCTCTGTAGGAGTGGGGTGCCCCAGAGATGGTCTCATCTTAAGGAAGTCTTTCAAATGAATTTACTCTTGAGCCCACAATGGTGGATGGACTTGGCTAATTCCTGAGATGCCCTCAAGACCTCTTTCCAATTGTCACAGTACAAAGATCTTGGCTTATTTTACTGACACTTATCTCTTTAGAAGTCATACCTTACTTTGCTCTGGCTTTTTTGACCAAACTGCAAGTTTTCAAGTCTTTCTGCTCTACTTTTTGATCCAGATTCTCATTGTAAATTTGGCTAAAAGCAGACAGCAATAATCATGTCACAGCCTGAATGCTGGTCTGCCTTAAAATTTCCTCCACCAAACTAATTAGTCTCTCATCTTCAGACTCTTCCTCCCACAAAGTCTCAGGACACAGACAAAATGGAGACAAATTATTTACCAGAATGTAATGCAAGTGGCCTCTAGTATAAGTCCCAGTGGAGCCCTTGTTTCCATCTGAAGCCTCATAGCAGTCTTCACTGCTCTCATTTCTGTTGGCGTTCAGGTCTTCTGAACTCCCCCAGAATCTCCCACTAAGTTCTGCTTATAGCATTTTAAGTTTTTTCTGTCATGCTTCTCCAAACTCCTCCAAATTCCTCCCACAAACAAGTTCAGAAGGCATAAGAACCACATGGTGAGGTTTAGTCATAGGCTCTGCCCCACTTTTCAGGCACCAATTTTCTCTGTTAGTCAGACTTTGTGACCAAAATACCTAAGAGGACAATTTAGAGGGAGACATTATTTATTATGGTTTTAGCAGTTTCAGTCCATGGTCCCCAGTCTCCATTACTTCGAGCCTGAGGTGAGGCTGAACATCGTGACCAGTGGAGAAGTCTCCACTCATGGCAGAAAGGGGAAGGGTGGGGAGCAGGCACAGCCTTCACAGCACACCCCCAGTGACCTACTTCCTCTTATATAGGCCTCACCTCCTAAAGTTGTCACCACCTCCCAAAATAGCACAAGCAGCTGGGGAGCAAGCATTCAGTGCATGAACCTGTGAGGGACACTCTCCATCAGAGCCCTAAGGATGTTCATACGCTCAGTTTACAGATCAGGTTACTTTCCGAGGGTCTGGGTGGTCATAAAATTTGAAAGGACACAGTTCAAGTCACTGATCAGTAACCTTAATTCCATCTGTCATGTCCTTTGTTGTGTAATGTTACAGAATCACAGGTGTGACAACGTGGGCTAAGACGGGGGGCCTTGTGCCTTCCACATGGTTTCTGTTTATTACCGGCATTCAGTAGGGATTCTTAAATGTGTTTTTATTGAGTGGCCTCTGCATAGGAGTCAATGTTCTGAGCAATGGAGGTACACTGGTGGATGACACACATAAGTGTCCCTATAGGATAATCACATCAGCTTGTGAAATGTTTTGAAGACAAAGAGGTTTGGACCAGGGTTGTGGGAAGAGGTGGTCTGCACAGGTTGGGTGGAGCAGAGTTCCTGAGGGAGGGAAGGTGAGCCAGGTGACACAGGTGTTGGGACAGGCTTCTCCCCAGGGATGCTCAGAACAGAGTCAGTGTTGAGATCCGGAAATCTATGTTTTGTTTTTGGTGGTACTGGGATTTGAAATCAGGGCCTATACCTTGAGCCACTCCACCAGCCCTTTTTTGTGATTTTTTTTTTTTTTAAGATAGGGTCTTGAACTATTTGCCCAGAGTTGGCTTTGAAACTCAATCCTCCTGACCTTTGCCTCCTAAGTAGCTAGGATTATAGGCGTGAGCCACTGGCACCGGTTGGAATTTATACTTTTAACAAATGACAAAGCATCCAAATCCAGGGATGCTGGAGTTGAACTTTGAGGGCCCAGTGAGGACTTTGGGTGTCATTGGGAGGTTCTGAGCAAGGAAGGTTGCTACCAGACTCATGATTTGTAAGGAAAGCTGGTCTCACATGGACAGGGGACAGTCTGGAAGGCCGAGGCAGGCACAGGGCAATATCCAGGAGGACTGTGGCTCTGCAGAGAGAGCATCTGTGGGTTTTGGTCTCATGCTCTCCTTGACATGACGTGAACCTATAGAGCACACCATATTGCCCCTCTGTTCCTTCCATCTGTTCTTGTCTCCTGTCAGGAGACTCTGTGTGGCTCACGGAGACCTGGCTTCACGTCCCTGCTGAGGCAGGGACATCTCCCACACCTCCGGTCATCTGTCTCCATAGCCATCTCCTCCCCAAAGACCCATCTCACCTCTCCCTTGTGTTTCCCATTATGGCATGCTTGGCACCAGGTCTGCCTCCCAGGTCTGCTGGTCTCCCAGATTCTGGAAGAAGACAGAACCCACACCAGTGGTGCTTGAGGCCACATTGCAGCCCTTGACAGTATGTTACAGGCTCCCTCCAAGCTGATGTGTCTGTCCTTCCTCCCAGTCTTCCTTGCAGAGAGAACAAGAAGTTCCTGCTAACATCTGTGTGCCCAGCTCTGTCCCCCAAAGCTGCAATGCCCCCAGAGAAGTGCTCCTAACAAACGGTGAGCTGGGATTCAAATGGTCAGTGTCCATCTAAGGTCTAAGGCTCCCCCAAAGTGAGGTCATGGCAGTATTAAGAACCCCATGTTTCATGGCATTAAAGAGTATGTGGGTCTGTTTGCGAAGCTATGTTGTTTAGTGTGTAGTGCGTGTGTACACATGGTGTATGTGTGTAATGTATGTATGTAGTGTGGATCCGTTTGTGGTATGTGATGTTTGTGTACGAGTTTTCTGTGTGTAGTGTGCATAGTGTATTGTGTCTGTGTGGTATGTGCTGTGTGTGTGGTGTGAGTCTGTAGATGGTATGGAATATGCATGTGTGTTAGGTGTAGTGTGTGTGGTGTAGGTGTCTAGGTGTGGTATGTGGTGTATGTCTCTGTGAAGTCACCAAAGGCTACAGGTGACTTCATTTTCTCTGTGGAGGGAGGTCACTATTCATAGGCCCCACAGGGAATAGAGGGAGAGTTCCTTGTGACTTAGAAACAGAGGTTGTGTTGTCATCCACCCGAGTAAACCTGGGCCTAAAGGGAGGTTGCCATCCACAGGCCCCACAGAGAATAGAAGGAGCACTCCTGTGACTTAGAGCTCCTTGTGTGATTGTCACCTACCTGAGTGACCCTTGGACTGGAGGTGGGTCCTGGGTTGCTCCTCCCTTGGACATTTGCTGACATATTTAGTGGAAATTCTATTGTGCCCTGAATGTCCCATCCCAGACTCAGACACTACAGGTGACACTAATCAGGCCATGTCACAGCAAGTGACCCTGGGGGTTCTTGCTGCCTTCATAGTTGGGGTGACTCCATGCTCCTACACATGGGAAAGTCCTTGTGACACCTGCTGTTCAGGCACCATCTTCAGTGCCCCTTCGTCTCTCAGAAGTGTCTCATCTGCTATGACTCCTGCCCTGAAGCCCAGAAGCAGCCCACAGCATTTGGAACCCAGCCAAGTCCTCCTGGGCTCCAGCTGACACCAGGGAAGGACGCTTGCAGTTCAGCCATGGACACCTCCATGGAGAAGTCCACCTGCACAGAGTGGCTGCACAGAACCCTGATCCAGCCCAGCTTTGGTGCGGCCATGCCATGGGACTGCTGTGCCCAGAGACAGCTTCGTGGACTTTCCTGAGGTCACGGTGAAGGATGTGTTTATGGGGAAGAGGAGATTTCAAGGGTGAGCCATGAGTCTTGCTAACCCAGAACCACACCTGAACACCACCTGCAGAGCAGGGGGAGCCGCTGTCCACAATGTCCTGCTCCCTCCATGGACAGCCCCTGACTCAGCTCCTGATGAAACTGTCACTTAACTAAGAAGGTGGGACCACAGTTCCAGCCATGGCTGGGCCGTTGAGCCTGGTAACCCTTTGCACAGAGATGTGCTGACTGGTGAGAGACCACCCAGCGTGTCCCTGGCAGGATTCTGGCCACAGACCCTGTGTGTCCCTCATGGCCTAAGTGTCCCCTTATTACCTCAATGGAAGGCCTCCTTGCAAGTCATCAGAGAGAACACAGTCCACCTAGGAAGGAAGCCTGGCCCACTGAGTTCAGCCCAGAACTATTCTCCCTGTGTCCAGAGTGAGAGTCAACACTGGGGAGCCCCAGGGTCTGGTCTGCAGTGGGAACTTGGTGTGGATGACCAAGTCGGGTTCCCCCACGGCCAGCTGGAATGTGGTACTCTCCAGCCCCAGCCACCTGCTGCCTTTAGGCCCACCCAGTATGGGGACCTGAACGTTCATTCCACTAACAGAACTGGAGCTAGAACCAGGTCCTGGGAGGACTCGCACAGTGTGTCCCAGGACACTGGCATAGCTGTGTAGATTGAGCAGTACTGAGTCCCTGCCCAGTGGCCCTGCTTTTGCAGTCCTGGTGGACAGTGTCCACAGACAGCTTCTCCAGAGAGCCCTTCTGGCTGAGTTTGAGGAAGCAAACAAAGGACAGATGACCCTGGACACCTAGCTGAAATGTGTATCAAGGTGTGCAGGCCTAGGCTCAGTCATGTGAGGGATCAGACAGTGTCCTTGAGCAGCCTGGGCTGAATGCAGTCCTACTGCTGTGACCACCACTCTGTCTTATACTTGTCCCCCGTTACCAAGTTTACTTGTGACAAGGTAATCTGAGATAAATCCTCCTGATTCCCACTTTGGTGACTAGGGTCAGATTTTGAGACCTGCCTTCTTGGCAAGTGTAGGTAGAAATTTAAGACCCTAAGAGCTCAAACTTGTTTCCTGACTCCAGCAGGACAAATTTTCAACTTAGTTCAAAAGCATAAATAGCAAAGTGGTCAGACAACATCCGAATGCAAGCACTGTACAGAATTGAGGCTCCTAAGCCTTTCTATACTTAATTCTAAATCTTTTGGAGTTGAAATATACTTTCTAACTTAAGGGAACTTTCTAGGTAATTGATGGAAATTATTGTCACAGCCTGAATAAAATGTAGAAAATCCATGGTGGCTCAAGCCTGTAATCCTAGCTATTTTGGAGGCTGAGATTGCGAGGACTGTGGTTCAATGCTAGCCCCAGGGAAAAAGTTTGCAAAATCCCAAATCAATTAACAAAAGCTGACAGGTGGTGAGCACCTGTCATCCCAGCTCATCAGGGAAGCACGAATAAGAGAATCTTTGTACAGACTGGCCCAGGCAGAAAGCAAAATCCTATCTCAAAAATAATCACAGCAAAAAGGACTTGTGTAGTGACTCAAGTGGTAAAGCACTTGTACCGCCAAATTAAAAAGAAAATCACAATTGTAACAAGAAACTGAACTGCTAATTTGAACTTCTCATCCAATGAAAATCCAAGTCCTAATGGCTTCACTTGTGAATTATACAATTTTTAAAGTAATTAATAATTTTATACAACATCTTTCAGGAAATGGAGGAGAAAAGAAAACATCCCAACTCATTCTGTTTTAACCTGATACAAAGACCCACAATGTGATCATCAAAGAGTGCCACATGTCAATATTTTTCATGAAAATAATGATTTAAGAAAACTGGCTTCAGCGAACTCTCACAAGGGAACAACCCTATGAATGCAGTGATCATGGATAGCTTTTCACCGAAAGTCACAGCTCAACCAGCGCCAATGAGCTCCACAGGAGTGAATGCAGTGAACATGGGAGAATCAGCAAACAGTAGTGAGCTCACCTGGGTGAAACATTGCACGTCTCAAAATCACTCTCTCTGGAATAGACTTAGCCTACATTTTCAGCTTCCTGGGCAGCATTGTGTAGTTGAGCTTCCAGGCAATCATGGGCACAGGGATGACCATCACTTCCAGGCCTGGCCCCCTAAAGATTCCTGAGTGTCCTTCCTGGTTTTTTTATATCCTGTGGGACTGAGGTGCAGGTGTCCTAGGCTGGCCCTAGGAGTCATGGGCAGGCCACTGTGATTTAAACAGAAGGTACTATCACACCTGTGTCCCAAACCTAGCATTTGTGCTTTCCATGAGTGAGAAATAAATACCTATTCTGTTGGAAAAAATGAACCAAATAGTGACAATTTGAGCCTAGCAACATAAACACAGGATTTATGCCATGAATAATCAAGAATCAATATTTATTCCAGGAATATAGAGTTGGGGATTTCAGATGTTAAAAAGCAATTGTGAGTCAGGAGAATTGTGCATTCAAGGTCAGCCTGGGCTATATAGTGAGACCCTATCTCAAAAAATCAATTAATATAATAGGACATATTAATAAAATGAAGGACAGTAGCCTGTGAGCACAGAAGTCGATGTATTAATATCACTTGACAAAATCAAGCACCCAATCATGACTCTAGAAATAACCAAAGCCATGGAGTAAAACAGGAACTCTTCAATCTGATGAAAACCAGAAACCCATGAGAACCTTAGATACATCACATGTACTGTGTACTCTGGAATCCTCTGTTGAGGAATTAAACACACTCTATAATAAACAGAAAGATGCAATGCTGATGGATCCAATATCAAAGTATTGTGACGATTTCAGTTTCCCCCAAAATTGGTGTGCAGATTTACCACAATCCCTTTGAAGTTTCTTTAGGCTTTTTTTTTTTTTTTAAGGAAATTGAGAAATAGATCCTAACATGAATCTGGAAAGCCAATGATCTGGAGTAGCGGAAGTGACTGTGAAAATGGAGCGCCTGGCTTCAAACTTTGTGCCTGTGGCAATCGTGACAACATGACACATAGCATGGACATATGGACTGATGGACTCTACTGGGAATTGGACTGGAGGCCACTCCTGTTACATTCTGGCAAAGAATTTGTCTCCATCTTGTCTATGTACTGAGGCTCTTTTGGGAGGGCATGTTTAAAGACAACAGACTCATTAACCTGTCAGAGGAACCTCAAGACAGCATAGCCTTAGGCGGTAGCATGGTTACTGCTGACTTCTTTTAGCCAGATTTATAGTGAGAATCGGGAGCAAGAAGTAGAGATGAAGGATCTTAAAAATTTGCAGTCTGGCCAGAAAAGAAGTGCCTGAAAGATGTGGACAAGGTGGGTGAGGTTGTTAAAGAGAGTAGCACCACTGAAGAGAAGCCAATTTGCTGGACTTGGTGGTACATACCTGTAATCCCAGCTACTTGGGAAGTGGAGACTGGGAGGATTGCAGTTGGAGTCCAGTCCCAAAAAAAAGTTAGTGAGATCTCATCTCAAAGAAAAGATGGGCATGGCCACATACACTATAATTCTAGTTGTGCAGGTGATGTAGGTAGGAGGAGCATGGCCCAAGATCAGTCCTAGGGCAAAAAATGTGAGACTCTATCCAAAAAGTAATTAAAGCAAAAAAGGATTGGGGTGTTGCTCAAGTAGTAGAGTAACTGCATAGCAAGCATAAAGATCTGAGTTCAAAATATCCTGTCCTGAAAGTGGGGGAGGAGGGAGAGAGAGAGAAGCCAATCACTTTGCACTAAGACAATAGAAAGATGCCTTCAGGGAATCTCAGGAATTGATTAACTTCACCATCATATACACCAGTGGGTAAAATTGTAAACTCATTTGGAAGACTTGTCTTGAGAAGGCAGAGCTGCTGAGACACCCTGAAGGCAAAGGGCAGCTTCAGAAACTGTTTTCCCAGGATTCACTTCACCAGGCCCATTAACCCAAGCATCAGAGGCTGAAGCAGCCATGGTGCAAGTGGGTCCAATTACTGCCCAAGCTGCTGGTAGACCATAGCACCATCCACATGATTCTGGTTTTGCAGGCATGAAAAATGCAAGAGTTGTGGGATCATGGAGGCTTCCACCCAGATTTCAAAGGAAGGACTGGAGGCCAGCCAATGTGTGGCAGGACCAGGACCCCTGCAGGCAACCCGAGAGGGAGATGCATGAAGCTGTGAGGATGAAGTCTAAGCTTCAATGGAGATCCCGGAGTTGGAGATGCCAGGAACTTGGAACATCTGCCAAAGAAAGCTGCAGAGAACGAGTGTGACCAGCCCAAGGGAAAAGCCATATAGGGTGCAAACATCAAGGCCACTGGGGCAGGGACATCCCCATCCACTGGAGCTCAGATCACACCACCACATTCCCTGGATGCTGGACTTGGACATATGGACTTGGATGTTTTCCCTGCTGGGCTCAGTCTTGCTTCAGTCCAACTGTTCCTTGCTCTTCTTTTGAGAAAGAAGCTGTGCTAACCACCACACCACCTACACTATCTCTCCCTTTTTGGATGGGAATGTTTACTCTGTGCCATTATGTCTTTGCAAGTATGTCACTTTCTTTTTTATTTTACAGGGCTCATGCCTGGATTTGCCTTGAGTCTCAGAAAAGACTTAGAATTGGGACTTCTGAGAAAGCTGGAACTCTTCCGACTTTGGGGACTCTTGGAGATGGACCAAATGCATTTTGTGTTACGAGATGGCCATGAGCCTTTGGGGGCAGGGGTGGAACATTTTCATTTACGGATATGTGTTTGTGTGTCAAGTTGTCAAAAGGGCGTTATGATGGTTAATTTTTATTATCAATTTGGTTTGTGTAAGGAATGCCTAGAAAATTAGTAAAACACACAGCTGAATGTGTGTGTGATGGCTTTTCCAGGGGTGATCAGATTATGAGGACTCTGACCTAACACATCAATCCCCTGGG